CAACCCGCAGCCAAATCCCATCCCAACCTGCAGCTAAACCTGATCCCAACCCGCAGCCAAATCCTGCTCTGGCACTGGGTGCAGCTCAAACCCTCCCTGATGCTCCAAACTCTGCCATGGAGCCAGGCTGGGAGAGCTCTGCCTGAAAAAACTGCAGGGAGATCTCAGAGCCCCTCCCGGTGCTGAAAATCAGATTATAAAAAAGTGGGAGAGCGACTTTTTATGTGCACAGTGATAGAAGAGCTGGGAATGGTTTTAAGCTAAAAGAGGAGAGATTTAGGTCAGATATTAGGGAGGAATTCCTTGCTTGGAGGGCAGTGAGGCCCTGGCACAGAGTGCCCAGAGAATTTGTGGGTTCCTCATCCCTGGAAATGTCCAAGGCCAGGTTGGAGCAGCCTGGGATAGTGGAAGGGGATGGGATGGGCTCTAAAGTCCCTTCCAACCCAAACCATTCCAGGATTCTATAGTTCTGGGATTCTATGATTCCAGAATTCTGTCATTCTATCATTCTATTTTCCTATCATTCTGTAACTCCAGAATTCTCTGAAGCCACAACCAGCACCCCAAGGAACAGAAATTCCAGCCACCAAACCCCTCGAGGGTCACACACGGATTAAAGAGGCAGCACCTCACAGACCTTGCTTGGATGGAGACCCAAATGTCCACCCCACCCCAATCCTCACTTCAGGCATTCCCATCTTTATCCCAAGTCCCTCTAAAAGGAGGAGCAGGGATGAGGATGGGCCCATGGAAAGCTCCGAGGTCCCTTCCTTGATCTTTGTCCAACAGGAGCAGCCTGGCAGCACAAAACCGCTCCGAAAATGAGATTCAAGTGTTGGCAAACGCCAACAAGTTGGCAGGAAATCGCATTTATTGGGAGGTATTTGTGCTTTTCTGAAACGCCTGAATTACCTAGAAAGAAGATTTTAGCTTGAGAGTCAATTCTCAACACTCAGGACTCGATCCAGCAGCTCGGTGCTAAAACTGCCCTGAGAGTTTGCAGGCGTAGCCAAAAAAGGTCATTTTTTTCCTGAAGATTGGGGAGGGGAAGGGAAATTTGGGCAGAGAAATTTCAGGTAATGGAGCTCCGGGGATAATAAAAACCCCGGAGGCTGCGGTGAGTCTGAGCACGAGGGTATCCTCGTCATCCCGGCTTTCTCAGAGCAGATCCAGGGCATTTTAACAATGAATCAGCAGAATTGCCACATGATTGCCCTGAAATTAGCCGGGATTAACCTTCCTGGCTGAGCCGAACATCTGTCCCCTCCCGCGCCCGGGCAAGGCACGTTCATCGCTTTTGCAGCTCAGGTTACCAGACATTCTTGGGGAAGAAATGCGAGCCCAGGGTCTCCCATCCAGCCCTGAGGTGTGGGAAAAGCGAGGCTTTACTGGGACAGAACACACCTTATTAAATCTAACTTGTACGCTGAAGAGAATTCTTTATAACCGGGTTTTTTTGTTTCCCAGAAAAAAAAAAAAATAAAAGGAGAAATAACATTAAAAAAAAAAAATTCCCCCAATTAACCCCTCGTGGCTCCGCGCTCTTGCTGACGTGCCTGAAGGGAGGAATATTTGGTAATTCATCCCCTCCCCGGTTCATAACCTCCCGCAGCACGAGCCAGCCCCATAATTAGCTTTCCACAGGTTCCAATTAGAACTTCGCTCGCAGCAGACTCGGCGGAGCTTTGATTGTTTTAGGCACGGTGCGAGAGGGAGACCCCACGTTCCTATAGCAACCAAATACAAAAGCAAAAATCGAGCAAACACCCCCCGCTCCAACGCTGCAGAGCCTTGCGGAGCTAAAATAAATCAGCTGTTAATGAGCTCCGAATGAGAGCTTCAATATCTGTGCAGCACAGTAGAAGGCAGATTTTTTAATTCCCATTGTTCCAGACAATGTCTCCAAGTTATCTCAGCAGCAAAGTCCAGACATTCAGCAATTTTTTTTTTTTTTTTCTCTCTCCATGGTGAAAGCAAGTTTGTTAAATGTCACCGATGTATTTTTACGGTGGCAGCTGAGCGATAGCCGCCGGTTTGTGACAATCTCAGCGAGCAGGGGACAGTTTCTAGGTTACTGCGTTCTTCAAAGGGGCGGCTCTGGCTGCCCCTCTTTGAACAGACAGATGTTCACAGAACAATGGGGCAGTCCCAGCGCCGCGGATTTCATCAACTTCCTAAAAAGCAAGGGATTTAACACCAGCCAGAGGGGATACATGCAAGCAGGAAAAGAAAAAAAAAAAATGATCGAAAAGCGCACGGGACTCATTGAGGAGCCGGGGGAGGAGGGGAGAGCCTGGATCGCATCCTCGCAGCTCTGCCCCGGCTCCGCCAGGAGATCCCAGCTCTGCACCAGCAGCTCCTGCCAGCCCCGAAAGGAACATTTGTGCTGCCTGACGGTAAGTTTAGAAGGGGAAAAGAAAAAAAATAAAAAGGTAAAAACAAAAAAGGCAACACCTTGTCTTTGGGATCTTGTGGCACTTCCTGGTGCTGAGTTTTCTTCTCAGGGACGTGGGGCAAAAAAAAAAAAAAAAAAGGTAAAAAAAAAAAAAAAAAAAAGAAAAAGAAGAAGAAGAAAAATCAGCAGCAGAGAAATCGGAGACAGTTTAAGGCATCGGGGCTGCGGCTCCGAGCCCTCGGCGTTACCTGAGTTCTGCGCTGCCACCCGCGCTTTCCTGGGGCTCACAGAGTCATTCTGCTCAGCTTCGTAGGATGCGGATGCACTGATCAGCAGCAGCAGGAGAAAACCAGACTTTAGGAGCATTCTCTGACAAGTTTCCGCTAAGTGTGGGGTTGGGTTGTTTTTTTGTTTTTTTTTTTCTTTTTTTGGGTGGTTTGATCTTTTTTTTTTTTTTTTTTTTTTTTTTTTTTTTTTGGGGATGTGTGCGCCTCTCCTCTTGCACTCCGGCTCGAGCGAAGATGTGGAGCTGGATACGCTCTGGCAGGAGGGAGGGAAGGAAGGAAGGAAGGAAGGAAAGAGGGAGGAGGAGGATCCTGGCGAGCCCGGGGATGAGCGCAGGGATGTGCGGAGGATCCGGGTGGCCCCTCTGGCTCCTGCTCGCTGGGGGACCGGGAGCTGCGAGGATTTTATAGCCGCCCTTATCGGTCCCCCCCGGGCTGCGGAGCCAATCGGCGGCGCTGGGCAGAGCCAGGGGAGGACTGGACTCATTCAAGCCCCACAAAAAAACTGCAACTTCACAGGAAGAATTTTTTTTTTTTTTTTTTTTTTTTTCCCCAGCCCATTAAAAGTACCTGCCAAAGAACAATGAGCGAAAAGTTCATCCTTGGAGGAGCGGTGGGAAAGGGAAAGGGGAGGGGGGGAGGCTTCCTATGGATAGTGGAGCTCGAGGAAATGACAGCGCCGTCCTAAAGCGCCCCCACCCCAAAAGAAAATCACCTGCCCTGTAGGAAAAGCTGTTCCCATCCGTCCGGGAGTGATGGCGGGGTTGGGAAGGGGCGGCTTTGGGGGGCTCGGGGATGGGGTTGGGGCTGGCCGGGATCCTCCCGCTCCTGCCCCGGCTCTCACCTTTCCCTGCGCTGCCTCCCGCCCCAGCACGTGCGAGCCCCGGGATTCATCCCTGCCCTCACGTAGGCTCATGCAAATCCCTCCCTTGCCCCAAACCTCGCCCGCCGCCTCCTTAGCTCCCCTCACCTGCGCAATTCCCTCCGTGAAATCAGCAATTCCCCCCATTAAAGCAGCAACTCAAACCTTCTGCTGCGCCCCAAACGCCGTTTTTTAGGTGTTTGGTGGTTTTTTCACTTCCCCCCTCTGCCTGCTCCAAACTCAATGCTGTTTTTCAGATTTCATAACGGGAGGAGGCACCCTAATGCCTGATTTAATCTCGGTTTTAATGGGCACGTAATGAGGATTAACACGCTGCAGGATTGATTATCCCGGGTCCCAGAGACAATTTAAAGCTCTGGGTGTTTCGGGGATGAAAGTGCAGCAGGGCTGTTAAACCTTGGAGCCGAGAGGAAATGGGGAAAGGTGCGCGGAGAAAGATTTCCAGATAAAAAGTCACAAGTTCCTGCAGCTTAGAATAAACCCAAAGATTTCGAGATCAGGTCTGGCTGATCTGGGCTCAGCTAATTTGGATCCTGGGCACGTTTGGGGCTCACTCCGCCACCCCCAGGATCTTTTCTGGGAAGGACTCTCAGCTCTGTGGCGCCAGGCAAGGAAACCCAGCTTGGAGAGATCCACGGATCCATCCAGCCACAGAATTCCCATTTGACGAAGCGATTCCACAAATCCCATTCAAGTGAAGGTGCCAAACGCCCCTTTTTGGGGCATTTATTCGGGTTTAAAAGGCGATAAGGAAGAATTTAAAGAGAAGCGTGAGGAGACTCTTTCCGTGGAGCTCCAGAAGCTGCTTTGCCTCATTCCTGCTTTTTTTTTCCTTGGGAAAATGGGATCGCTCTGGGTCCTGCCCATCCCTGTCCCCGATCTCTCCCGGGCAGGAGCTGCCCCATTCCCGGTGCTGCCGGCTCCCTTTGGAATGGGAACAGGAGCGAGGTTGTGCTGCTGCCCGGGGGTCACAGGAACAGCTGTGCCAGATGTTCCAAGCGCACGCCAAAAGACCTGAAACAGGAGGGTTTCGGGTTTCGGGTTTCGGCTCCGGTTTGGGACACCGAGCCAAATTCATTAAATAAAGGAAAAAAAAAAAAAAAGCCAAGAAAAAGAAGCAGCAGCCTCGCAAAGCGTTGTGGTTTCTCCACTTCAGAGCCCCGGTCCAGTTTGGAAGTGAGAATAATCCCAGAGGGTTTGATCCTGATTAAATCAAAAGCAACTCTGGCAGCGACTTCAATGGGGGCTGAGTCACGGCTCCAGCGCCGTCCTCTCCGCAGGGGAAGCGCTGCATTTTCCACACGAGTGGGTTGCAAACTCCCAGTCCTATCCCTGCACCCCTTCACCCCCAAACCGAGCATTCCCGCTCGGCTTGGGCGGCTTTTGGAGCTGCAGACTCGGGCACCTTGTCCTGACCCTCCACGGGAGCGCGTCCGCATCCACGGCAGCCCCAGAGCGGGCAGGAATGAACGCCAAGGGGAAACCCAGATTATTCCGGCACATTTTCGGTTCTTTCTCCCGCTGTTTTCCCCAGGGATTTGCTCCTTCAGGGCCGTGTTTGATGTTTGTACCTGCTGCACGTTTTAATTCCGAGCAGCAGGAGCAGGAGGTGAGCGAGGCTCAGTTTGGTGACCCCGTGAGTGGTGTTGGATCAGGACACAAATATGAAAACACCAGGAAAACTCGATGGAGACTCCAAAAAGACCCCGTGGAGGCAGAACTTTTATTATTTTGCTTTAAAAGAGCGGGGGGATGATTTCAGGACAGCTGTCAGATTTGGCAGGGGACTCCTACAAGCAAATTTCTGCCCAAGACCTGCGCTACCAGAGCACATTTGCATTTTTTTCTTTTGCATGTTGAAGTCACAAGGGCTCGAAATTCCCTGGAAACTTCCATTCTGCCCTCGCTGTGAGATTTCCCAGGAGTTTGGTGGCAGAGGAGTTTGGCTTCCATCCTGTACCAGGTTTTAAAGGGAAAAAGGAGCAGCCAGCGATGGAATCACTGCCCCAAAATCAGCGGTTGGCTCATTCAAGGGCCAGGCCCTTCGAAAGTGTTGTTAGAAGGTTTAGGGATACAAGAACACCCATTATGGGATAAGGTTTTCCCTAAAAACCTTCCTTCCTCCCGATCTCAGGTAACAGTTGCTCTACAGCCTGGAGAGATCATTGAAAAAAAAAACCCAAAAAACCAAGAAAAAAACCAACAAAACAAATTAAAAATAAAAAGTTTCCCTATTTGTTCCTAAAAGCTTGGCACAACCTGCTGGAAGATTTCCCCCGAGGTGAAATGCTGGAGGGTTTCTTTTCCTGGCTGATGCGTGGAAAGAGAAAAAAGAAAGGCACTGTTAGCCCTGGGAGAATCCCCCCCTTCTTTCCATTCCCATTCAGCAGACCCTATTAAATTGCACAGCCCGGCCTTTTGTGCCACTGCTCCTCTATTCCCAAGGTGTTAAGATTTTTATCCAACTTCATTCATTCAAAAAAAAAAAAAAAAAAAAAAAAAAAAAAAAAAAAAATCGAGGGAGAGGAGAAAAGAAACGAGGAAAAAGAGAAAGGGGGACCTAAAGTCAGCGATCCCTCTCTGCTCAGCTGCTCCTGGCTGGGAGCTGCTGCCAGGGCTGCCCCCCTTCCCTCCCATTGTGTAACTGGATCCTTTCCCACCTTTATCCCCCTTTTCCCAGCCGGGACCCCTCGGCTCCCCGCGCTCCGGAGGGACGTGAGCAACTGCATCACCTCGGGAGCGCCGCTGGGCCGGCCCCGCACGCCCTGCACTGCCCGCGGCCCGCCCTGCGCCGCTGCTCCCAGCGACGGCATTCCCAAAAAACA